GGATCAACGCACACCCAAGTTGAGTTTGTGTGTGATTCAAAAAAAAATAAAAAAAAAAAAATCGATGAGTGCAATATGACCAAATCTTCCGATAATCTCATATGTCAACAATTCAAGAGCGAACGAGACCTTCATCGAATTTCATCAAAAAACCCATAGCAATTTTACATAAAATGTTTCAAGCTTTGATACTTCTCTGCAATTTTCTTGCAGCTCAATATTTGGACAAAAACCTATGCTATGGCTTTGCTTTAAGTTGGTTTAGGAGTTGTCCAATTTTGTGGTATTGGACCAATGTCATAAATGACCTCTCTATGGCACGACCAAACGAGCTTTATTGCCTCCGGTGTCCCTATCCCGGCTCCTCTTGGATCACCGGCTGGGCCAAACCTATGTAATAACACACATTCATTATATTTAGCCTAAAAAAAAACGAAGAAAAAAAAAAAAATCGATGATACATTTGTACTTACCAATGATTTTGTGGAGCTCCAGTAGTTCTTGCTCTAAGTCCAGCATAAGTAGTTCCATTGACAGAATTCCCAACCACCTCCTAAAAACATCGTTAATTTGACAACACCGTGTAATAATAGAGAGAAAAAAAAAAGAAAAAAACAAAACGTTCAAGAAATAATTAATTCGAGGTTTTTTTTTATCTTCACCTGCACGAATAAAGGATCGTTAGACACAACTGCAGCTGTTAAGTGCGCGTGCATTCTTTCGAGAGCGTTCAGAACAAGCGGAAGCTCGTCGTGTTTGTATTCCGTGACAATCTGAATTAAACGACACAATATATATATATATATATATATAACGAATTTTAGCGAATGAATTGATGATAAAATATTATATTTTGCAGGGGTTTTCGATTTTGGAAGAAGACCATGTGTACCTGGAACGGGCCAAAGATTTCTTTTGTTACGAGATCGAAATTGTTCTCCTTCAGAATTTCTTCGAGTGGAATAAAAATGGCAGTAGGTTCGATGGCACCATACACTGTAGGAATAGAATGGTTTTGTAAAGCTTTACCACCAAACAAAACGCGAGATCCTTTTATACTGAGCAATTTTTCCACGTGATCAAGCATTGCTTCAGTAGTAAACTGCATGGACAAAAAAACATAAGACAAATCTTATCGGTACACATTAATGCCATTTTCTAAGCCGAAAAGAGAAACGCGATTAAAAAAAAAAAAGAAATGGGAACTCACGGTAAGAACAGGGCCAATAGTGAGATCATTCAGCTTCCTTCTAGCAGCAAGACCCGAAAGCTTACTTATGAGCGAACTTTTACCCCAATTCTACACGACCATAGAATTAATCAATCCAATGATGTGAGAAAATAAGTTTTCAATAATCACTTCAAAGAACATTTAGAAAAAAATTTGCAATTTGGAGATTAACCTCGTGCATGAACAGCAAGGATTGAGCCGAACACTTTTGGCCACTACATGCATAAGCATCTTGGTCACAAACCCAAGCGATATAATCCTCCTATAAAGGAAAATGAATAAACGAGCAACATTCACTGAAAGGATGCTTGTAATTATCTATGTAGATACTGAAATGCAGAGTCTTACAAGCACATATTATATACATAAGAAATAAAGAAATTTTGTAACCTAAGCTGGTTTTTTCGAGATCGGGCAAAAGCTCCAGGCTATTTTTTTATTTTAATATTTAGTATAAAGAATTATGTTACAAATTACCTCATGGACATCCGGCCCAAGAATCTTCCAGTCAAATCCAGCATCTTCAAGTTTGATTCGACCCTTGAGATCAACAGCTAATTTCTCTGCAACTCTTGAACTACCGGTGAATAGAGTCATGCGCGGTTTTGCCTGATGATACAATGCAAATCATGCACAAATTTCGTAAGATATACAAATATTGTGAAATTTACTAGATATGACGGACGAGTATTTTGAGATGATGAAAAAATCGAGGAACTAAACCTCCAAGAGAAGTTTGTTCATTGCTTTCCCATCAGAGTTTATGAAATCAACATCTTCCGAAGGCAGCCCACACTCGTGGAGCAAACGAAGCATTTGTTCCATAACAACAGATACCTTTAAAAGTGAAATCACATTTGAAAATTAGTGAGCTGTATAATGAGATCACTTTCTTTTTTTTTCAGTCATTAAGTATACATTTTTACACAAGTTACCTTGCTGTCAACTTTGAGCAGTGGCTTGTTTCCCATATATAGAGCGCCCATTAGTTGAAGCACTGGAATCTCTAACGGAAAATTGAAAGGAGTAATAATTGTGACCTAAAATGGTGAAACAAGGTAAGAATTAAATGGAAGTTCAATAGATAACTAGCGTTTTTTCATTGAATGAAATTCTATCGAAACAAGAAAAGAATTGTAAACCATATTTTATCGAGTGTTGACTTACCGGACCATAAGGCCACCTAAAGCCATGGCTCTGCTGACCAAGATGATTACCTGGAACACCAAATGACCTAGCCAGAAAACGAACCTGCCAAAGTGAATTCAGATGAGAGGTTAACATCTTATTCTGAAAAAATATATAATAAAAAAAACAATCTGAAGCATGGAAAGGGATATAACATAAAATAACACTCGTAAGATGAAAAATATTTTATCTAGTCTTGTTCTTAATCTTAACACTACTTTTACAATGATTAAAAATGCATCCAGGGAGAAGAACAGTGATAGAACCAAACTAACTTCCAAAGTCATAAAGCACGAGCATTAAAATATGTACGAATTCTGCATATTGTTTTCAATAATTACTTGAATTACAAATCTAATAAAACCAAGAGAAAAGTAAAAAAAAATAAAAATAAAAATAAAGAAAAAATTGCTACCTGATCGCCACAGAAATTTTCCAGAAACTTCTGTGTGACATAAACTTCAGCGAATGCTTGTTGGTAACTCTTCGGAGACACCCTTTGTATCAACTTGGCAAAGAATTCAGAAACCTAGAAGCACAAGCCCTTTTTGTTTTTTCAACAAATATTAAATAAAATTTTCGAAAATACCAAGATCTTTATCAATATAAGACATCACCTCAGGCAGTGATAGTTTATGAGCTGCTTTTGTGGTTACGTCTCCAAGCATCAGGTACCTGAAACATGGGTATTTTTAGGTTGTTACGATTAAAAAAAAAAAGCCGAAAGTCTCATGGTACAAAATAAAAAAGGTTCAAAACTGCAGAATAAATTATACAATCTAATGATAACCTCTCAGGTGCTTTAAATGGATTGTGAAGGCCATGTTTGGGACAACTGGACAAGCTCTCGACAAAAGGCTGCATAATTTATGATGAGTTGGAGGGGGGGTGGGGAAGAATTCAATATTAATCATTGTTTTTTAGTAAATATTAGAATTATGTGACAAGAAAGCTGCAATCAGGAGATTCAGGACACATACCTTTATTTCCTTCTCATCAACTTCAGAAACCTTAATAAACAGTTCTCCATTTAAAGGGTCGGGAATGTTGTTCGAACGAGAAGATTTTGTCCAATTACCCTGCACTAATAAAGAGAAAAGGAGAACATTCATTCTCTTTCCCACATAGAATCAGAAATAAGAAATAGAAAACAAAACAGAATTCTTGCAACAAAGGCAGTAATTGCATTCAAGTAAGGGTATCCTTTGGAGAGGTCACTACCACATTATTTATGAGTGCTAATGACACAAACAACGATCATCATGCTCCTTTCCCATGAAAGCACATGAATAACTTCACTTTTTTTTTTTTTTT